TTAGAGCAATCCCAACCTGGAAGGCCACAACCCTTCCGACGCCAATAGGAACGAGATGCCTGGAAAGTGCATTTTCAATAAACTGTGGCTTCATCAAGCTGACTACAAAGACTGGATATTGATGGATGACAATCCTTATAAATTTATTATAAGCTAAATGTGGTCTTTGAAACAAATTGAAATTTCTAGAATGGGAGAGTCAGCGCTGAAAATTCACATGAAAATTAAGTTTCGTTTTATCATTTCAATTTGTTTTTACACGGTTTTGCTTAGCTTAATTTCTGTGTTTGTTTCAATTAAGCCATAAATTAATTTTTTATCACCTTCTACGGAGTTTATTCTCTTTTGCACATACTATATGTACGGGATATCGGGATTATGAGTTTATTTCTGCAGAGGGTCTGTTATCGATTTCGCCGGAAATCTGTTGGCTCCATTTCGATTTTAGGTCGCCAAGGGCAAATTCGGTAACGCTAGCCGAGAAAAAGTGAAGTTTGGAAATACGTTTTGAAGCTTCAATAGACAATTAAGTATTTGGGGTATTGTTCGGTTTCGAGGGCCGTAAAAAAATTGCAGCGAAAATGTATGCGCAAAAGCGCCAAATCTAGTAAACGCGCCCATTTAACAGCCCGCCAAATCTAGCGTACGCGCTGATTTCAGATTGCGTAAGTTTATATAGTTCTATATTTCTTAAGACGCCATTGAAATACTAGTTTAATTTTTAAATCCTTTTTTTTATATTTTAAATCCTTTTTTGATATTCTATGGATTTAACAATTTGGGAATTGCCCTGACGAAAAGTCGGCAGTAGAATTTTGAGTAAAGTGCAGAATCACCCACTGCTTGACGCGTTTTTAAGAATTGCACATACTCGGTATTCATGTGCACATCGACCTATTTTCATTTGAAAAAAAATCCTAGAATTGCACAAAAATGGCACTGCGCCCACCCTTGACTTTATGTATGTACACATCGACCTATTTTCACTTAAAAAGTAAAAGAAAATTAACAAAAATCCAATTGTTTTTACCCTTCTAAAAAGCGGCATACAAATAAGTGAGCGATTCTGCACTTTACCGAGAATATTTTCAAAGAAAAGGCATCATTCAGTATAGAAAATTACGTTAGAACAACTAACGAGATGAAATTATGCTTTAGCGATGAGTCGGTAGTGAAATAGCGATGAAGGCATCCATTCAGTTATGTTTAGCAATTTTTATGTAAATTATAATAATGATCTGAAATAGTTATTTACTATATTATACTTCCATTCAGTCATGTTTAGCCTTTTTCACATAAAATTAATCTTTATATGAAATTAATCTTTCATCTAAATTAAAACATCAATCTTAAATAGTTATTTACTATTATACTTCCTTTCTTGCCGCAATTATTTTTGGCAGCATTGGCATCAACAATAGTTTGGCGATTTTTTACGGCCCTCGAAACCGAATAGTACCGTATTTGGTTTAATCCTATGCTTTTGATAGTAATGCATTATTTTTGCTAATGGCGATACAATTATTAGTTGAAAACAACTAATTAAAAATTTTCAAATATTTTTAAAGCTGAAAACAATCAATTGAAACTAATTTTCCTGAATTAACTAGACGCAAAATTAACTTTCATGAATTACTAAAGTTATTGGATAGAAGCAGGGGCGTAGCTAGAGGGGGGGGGAAGGGGGGACATCTGTCCCCGGGCGCAGAATCCAAGGGGCACCAAATTCATGTTAGGACATTTTAGAATTAAATGTTTTCCATCCTTGGCAAGCAGTAGGGGGCGCGAAATCTTCAGTTGTCCCTGGGCGCTGAAAATCCTAGCTACGACTCTGGGTAGAAGTTTAACTGAAAATATACATTCCATATTATATATATATACATATTTTATACAGTACAAAGTCTGAGGTCGGGACTTCGGCGATCCCAGATTTGAGATTTTTACGGATATTAGATCATTTTAAAGCTAGTAAGATGGCACGTAGAAATTATAAAATTGAAAATATGAAATCGTGATTTATGAAATAATGAAGCATTTATGATTTAAAGGGTATCAAAATTTACAAAAGAAAAGAGCTTAATATTTATATGTTTACTTTATTAAACATTTCTTTCAATGTGAGTTGTTTGATTTGTTTTCTCTGCTGATATTTTGACTAATACTGTAGACATATAATTTCTTGTTGAGTTATTAAGTCCATTGTTCAAGTCCTGTAATTGCTGTGTCGAGAATTCCGAATAACTTGTCAATCAAAATTTTTTCTCGTTCAGCGACCTCTCTGTTACTTTCTTCACTATCGGTAGCTGTATTTTCTGGATTTAGAACCATACTACTGATTTCGCCCTCCGTTAATTGATTGATGATTGGGGCATTGTCATCGCAATGAAAAACTTCTGTTTAACTTCCCTAAATTCTGCCGCCTGGTGCGGCCATGCGAGCTCTGGCGCAGGTTCTGGCTTTATGTGAATTACAAATCAGTTAAAATCGTAAAACTAATCGTAAAAATAATGATAAAAGTAAAGTTTATTGGGGATTCATTGCTGAGCAGTTAATGAATGATAAATGTCGCAAGAAGGACATTTCACAAGCTGAAAGTTTTGCATTGAAACAAGGTCAACAATGTGTCTTAACAATAGTACAACACTTAATGAATGTCTAAATGTCCAATAAATTATTCTCTTATTCGAAATGCATCTTGTATAGACCCGCGATTGATGGTTAAAAGTCCAGAAAAAGCCCAGAACAAAATGAAAATAGTTCTAACGGTATTAATGCAGAATAAACATGTTTTACAAGATGATTGGGATGAAATTCTGCTGCAGTTTGGAGAGTTTCTAGACAAATTCCTATTCGTTTTTTTTTTTTTGTTTGCTGATAGGTCCTTAATTTTTTCTTTGATGGTCCTTAAAAGTCCTTAATTTTCATGTAAGGAAATGTGTACAAAACCTGCTGTAACATTTTGACCATGGAGTGTATGAAACATCAAAATTGAAAAAAAGCATCTTGAAATTAAGCATTCTTTGTATGACTCATTCATTAAAAGCATTTCAAATGACTGTTGCAATCTTCAAAAGAAAAACAATATTTTATGAAATTTATGCCTGTTAGCGAAAAATATTTATTTTCGTCATAAAGCTTCATTTTTGGTTTCTAAAAATAAAAATTGAAGAAGATCTTGTATTACCTTCTGTTATTAAAATGGTAGAAATATTTCAGAAAAGTAAATATAGCGATGAAATTCAGAAAATTCTTTTGTCAAACAACACTGTTGCCAGTTGAATTTCTGAGAGTGAATTATGAGATTCTGCAAAAATCAGTTCAAGCAACTAATACTGATTTTGAGAAAGCCTAAAATTTATACTTCTTTTAATTATTTATGTATTTTATTATTCATGCATCGTTGGATGAAACAACTGATAGTATTTCAAATATATCATTTGAAAGTTTATGTCAGATACATGTATAAAGAAAACTTTTCTGCAGAATTGTTATTTTGTTGTTATTTGAAATAACATGTAACAGCAGAAGACATATATAGTAAAGTTGATGAATTTTTTAAAACTGAAGATTTATAATGGAAAAATTGCATTGGAATATACACAGATGGTGCAAAAGTGATGTTGAGCAAAATATTTGTTTTAAATCATTTGTAAAACTGCTAGTAATGATCATGTAACTTTTGCACACTGCTTGGTCCTCCAAGGCACCCTTGCAGGGGAAAAAAAAAAAAAAAAAAAAAAGCAATGGAATTAAAGGATGTGCTTCAGGATGCTATCAATTTTTTTTTATTTTTTATTAAAAGTCATGCCTTTAAAACCATTTAAAATCTTTGTAAAGCTATGAATTCTATATACAAAAATTTATTAATACATGCAGAATTAAGATGAATGACAAGAAGGCAAAGTTTAAGATTTCTGTTATTAGAAGATGAAATTATTATATATTTAACCAAACAAGCATCTGATTTTGGAGCTCTTTTCCAAAATAATTTATAGATATCAAAGCTGTGTTATTTGTAAGATATTTTTTTAGAAACAAAACATCTCAATATTGAAATAGAAAATATCTATTCAAGTAAAATATAACAGTATATTTACTTCAACAAAATTGAAAGTTTTATTAAAAAGATTAACATTTGGAAAAATATCTGGAAAATAATTCACTTGAAATGATTTAGACTACAGATAATTTTATAATTGAAAAAGTAACTATAAAACTTAATTGCAAGAAGTATTAGAAATCATTTAAAATCTTAGAAACAGAGTTTTGTAAATACTTTATATCGTATTTCAAAATGTTATCTTGGATTCATTTTGATATGAATAAAACCATTTTTTGATTGAAGTCAATGAGAATAATCACCTGCCATATGAAGTCTAAAAGGAATTTTTTGAGCTATTGATATACTCAAGCTTAAAAGCTTTTAAGCTTCCAAATCCATGACTGAGTTCTAGATTGGAGCTAGAACTGAATTTCCCACAATTTTTGAAATGGTATTAAAAGTTTTGCTATTCAGCACCACATACTCATGTGAAATGACTTTTTTAACTTTAATGTTTGTTAAATCCAAGTATTGTCTAATTAAAACACATTCATGTAATCAAGACATGATTTTCTTTCATTAATTTTTGTATACCTGAAGCAAAGCCTAAAACTGCTACTTTTCATGTGTATATGCGGAAATATTTATTTTTATATTTCTATTTTATATTTTGGATCATGAAGGAAATCTCAATGATAAAAAGGGTTCTTGAATGAAAAAAGTGTAAGAAGCACTGTGCTAATTAATAAACTTAGAAAAATTCAGTTTCAGAGTAACTCTGAATAATAATGTTTCTGTAATAATAATGTGATACAGATAGTGCTCCATGCTTTGAAGAAAATCTGACAGAGATTTTGCTTAACGAATTCTAACTTAATACTTCAGAATGTGTGAACAATTTATGCTTAAATTAATTATACTGCTAATCAAAAAATAATTTATTCATATTCCTCTTTAGCCGAAACTCTGGCCAGTTATCTAAAGAAACACTTTTGTTACTTATCCTCATTGTTCAAGTACTAAAGAATGGGTCTTCATCAGAGGAACAAACTGATGACACAGCCAGAAATTTAGATGATGAGGTTAGCTCTAAAAATTATGTTGTTATGTTATTATAATAAATATTATTTGAAATTCTGAGTGCGCAAAAAATGTTTAGTATGTACTTAAATATTAGTGCAACCCACCTTAGTAGAAGTCACAAGTTTTGCCAAACTGAGACAACCATGTACATAATAATTCTTCAGTTTTAAGAAGCAATTTTATGGTTTTCACCTGTGTTTCTTTTGCAATACCCTAAGTTACAATGATTTTTATAAATAATTAATTTTCATTTTGACACTATTTTAAAATAAGGACTTGTCTAGTGTACCTGCAATGGGAGAAACTGCTGTAAGAGTTTCTGCAGGAATATTGTACTTTGATGCGAAATCTATTGTACTTTTGAAAGAGAACAATTTATTTAAATCCCAAAAGTGATGACCACAGAGTTTCTAAATAGGGGGAAAAAATAAATTGCTGATTTTTGGAATAAATGCCTAATTAAAATGTAAAATAGGTATGTAGTAATATCTATGCATGCAATGCATAAATTTACACTAAGTCATTTTTCTGTTTTCTTCTTTTAAAAATCACCCAAATGCATCAAGGTGGTTGTGCCAATATATAAGTACCAATTTTTTTAGGCATAAGAAATATACCTGCATCATGATTAGTTATTTCAGTAAACAAAAGACAAAATAAAATTAGGGATTTTAAAAATGTGATTATATTCATAATTTATTGGCATTACTTATTTTGAAAACATGAACGCTGTTATAAAAAAAGCTAAATCATCTAATTTAATGACATTCAATAGGTGGCACTGGAGCATATATTTTTCTGTAGAAAATTATTTTGCGCATGTTGTTCTGTAATGGAAAAGATTCTATTTCACTACTTTTCTTTTAATATATTTTTTTAATATGTATGTGATAAAATTTCTGTTGTAATCATTGTTTTTTTTTTCTGCATTATCATATTTCTGTCAGTGTAATGGTTATATTTCCCTATGTTTTTAAGAATACTTCATGTTCTTCGCTTTTTTTCAGATATGAATGTTTTTTCAGATGTTTTTCAGAATTTCAGATATTTTTGAGTTTTTATTATGATGGACATTTATGAGTAGACGTTATTCTTGAAAATCACTTGCTTTTCTTTTACAGCTTGTCTTGACATCTTAACAATAATTTCAAAGTCTTTTTATTGTCAGAGGATAGAGATTTATTTTGAAACATTTAGCAGTTTGGTCACTTTTATAACTGCTTGCCATATTTTTAAATGCTGTCCACGTGTGATTCATTCGGATGATACTTTGATGCCATTAAAAAACTATTTTGACTGAATAAGCATTCTATTTAAATAGTTATTACAGTATTTATTCTGTCAAATTGGAAATTTCAGGGGGGGGAATAGAATTTAGAAAAATTTCTCTACAATCAGAAATTTGTAAGGAAAAAAATTTTTTTCCCTACAAATTTCAAACAAAGTCACATGTTTATCATTTTTTCATGCCAATGTTCGTCATTTTTTCATTTCATGAAAAATAAACCAGACCTTGAATTGACTGCATCATGAAATCTCACTGTTGATTTCATGATGCGGTGAGTTATCACTCATGTTGATTTCATGATGATGTATAGAAAGGAAGTTTTGACACCAATGAATCTATGTGTGCTTGTATGTAAAATCATTATTTTTTAAAAAAATTCTTAAATTTTTACTTATAAAGTTTATAAATACCCAAGTTTCAAGTTTATAAATACATATTTATAAACTTGAAATTCAGCAAGTAAATTGCTCTTGGTGAATTTCTCAGTTTATACTAGCCTTTTTGCCAAGTGAATTACTCTTGGCAGAAAGTGAAAAAAGTGGACCAAACTATATTTTGAAATTACTCTGTATGTCCCTCACAAATTTTACAAAATTTGGTTTTTAGGCATAATTTGATTCACAGATTCAAAATATGGGGAAAACTGGCATTTTATCTATAAAAAATCCAATTTTATGCCAAAATATGAATAAAAAATTAAAAACATTTAATGTATATATGTTCATATAATGAAAAGTTATATACATATAATGAAAAGTTATAAATATATAATGAAAAGTTAGAACATATAATGTATATCCTAAATCACAGTTTCGAGGCATTGAAATATGCAAGTTGAATTTAATCATTTGGCCAAATAGAACAAGAGATGTAGAACTGTCCCATTTTTTATTCACTGTACATACATTAAAATTGATATTTCAAAATATATTGTTATATTTCATCTGTTATATCTTGTTAATATTTTTCTGTGTTCTTGAAACATCGACTAGAATGTTTTCATTGAAAGTGTTAATAGAGAATTTCATTCTATTTTTTTTACCATTTTATATATAATGTACTGTGCTTTGTTATTTATTTGTATATGTACTACTTGTATATCATATACACATACAGCATACTTCCATTAGATAAAGAGTACTTTAAAAAAATTGGATGTTTAAATATCTTTTAAATGATTAGTTACAGTTACTTTGTTCAAGAAATGAATCAGGTAAGTTATGGTTCCAGAAACTACAGTTTTAATCACATAAAATCTTTTAGTTAAAACACATACAATTAAAAATTTTATGTAATACCTTCCTCAAATAATGAATATTGAGTCCTCAAAAACAACAATACCTCCCTCAAAAAGGGGGGGGGGTATTTTCTGATTATTTGTACCTTCCACCTATTTTCAAAAAGACAGTATAGAAAGAATTTCATACAAGAGCAGAGCAATTAATCAATAAAATAAAAAAAGTAAGAAACACTGGTAATAAAACACTTACCTTTTTCAAGAAATCTGTCATTTTTGCACTACTGTTCTTCTCGTACAGCAATCTGTTTTTGCTTAAAAGATCATTACAGAATTGCACAAACTCAGCTCCGTACAACATCTGTATTGCACGCCAGTCAAAATAGACATGCTGTGCACATACCTGGATTGCCACATAAATATTTTTAGTGACATCATGGGTTGCCACATAATTCTTTTGGTGACTTACTATTTTGCCTCATGAATATTTTTTCATGACTTTTCAGTGGAGGTGTGGATAATCAGTAAGTGCCCAAAAATTTATTAAGCTTTTTTTTCAAACAAAAAAACTTTTCAAAAAACAATTCTGTAATATATGCAGAATCAATACCAAAAATTATCACGATTATGTTATTTAAATCACTTCCTTGGTGAAGGTGGAACAAGTAATGAAAAAAGAAAGATTTTAGGAACAAAATAAAATTTTGAATTATATTAGGCAAAAATTTTGGAATTCTAACATATCTGCAATGGAAATTTGAAACCCATACTTAGATACACATGTTTAGTATTGGTGTACAAATTATTTTCAGAAATTTGCATTGGAAAATTTACATGGTTTCTTTAGTAATTTTTAGGCTTGATTTCAAAAATTTTTATTAATATCTTGGTAAATTTTTATCACTTAAAGATAGATTTTTTTCCATTTAACTAACTATAAAAAAAAAAAAAAATTCATTAATATTTTTTTCTGTAGAGTTTTCATAAAAATTTTAATTTCATATGTTTTTGCTGAAAGCTGTCTCTTTCAGACCAATACCAAAATTGCCATTGCCTGAAAACCTGTTTTTCTTGATTTATTTCTAAACTGGAACCATGAAGCTAACAATTAGATATTTAGTAAATGAATCTTTTTTAAATATCCCACATAATAAGTGCATATTCATTTGTTATTTATATGTTTTAATAGCTTTTTAAAATAAGAGTTTACCATGTATCATTTTTGTGTAACATAAAGTATTATTAATATTTGAAATTACTTAATAATACTTATTACATTGTTTCCCAATATTTTAGTTTTTCATTCCTATATCTACGAGTGCAGCAAAAATAAATTTGCTAACAGAGGGGAAAAAAGTTACAAGTAAGTATTGTTTTAGTAATTTTTATGTATATTGTCATTTATATTATTTCAGTGTCTTTTTATTTCAATATTATGCTGTACTGTTAATTAAGCTGAGTAACTGTAAAGTCATCTTGCATAATACTTTAAACTACACCAAAAGCTCACTATTCAGCATTTAAGTAAATGGGAAGCTCAAGTAAGCAGAATATTTTAGAACAAAAAAAAAAAAAAAAAGTTTTTGCTTGAAAAATTTAATAAATAAGAGATTTGTAATGCCATTACAGATAGGCTTGCCAGATGTCCCGATTTTCAGATAAAATCCTGGTGTCCCAGCCGGTTTACTTCTAGTCCCAGTAAAAATTAAATTTGATTTTATAGATGACCAAAAAAGTCTATAAAAATAATTAACTGTTAGTATTATTTAGGATAATTACTTTGCCAGTTATCTCTGTACTGTATGAAAGGTGAAATATATAGAAGAGTAATGATCTGCCAATAAATAATATTGTCAACGTATTGTCGTCTTGCCAATCGTGACCATGTGAGATGCGAGAGGCTTTCCGGACTCGGCGCTAGCCACTTGCAATAGAGATCACTCCCTTTTGGTGGTGTCTGTTGTGTTAGTGAGCTAGCACTGTTTTGCTTATGCTTTAAGTTAAAATTTATGCATTCTCTGTTAAAATGCCAAAACTGTCATGTAAATTCACCGGGGATTTACAGAATGAATTCCCTTTTTTGAAGAAGGTATGTACTGGCAATCAAGATCAAGACGATAAAGTTCACACTGTAATTCTGAGTTTTCTGTTGTTCGCAGCGGTCGATCCAATATAAAAAGAGCATTTGCGATTGAGTAAACACAAAAAGAGTTTAGCATGTGCTGCCAGCTCATCAAAACTGACCAATTTTGAAACAAAACTGCAATTTGAAACAAGACTGCGAGTGATAATGATAAAAACATAGCAGTGGAAGTGCCGACCTTTGCTTACCACACAGCAAACCATAGCCTAAGTTTCAATTCGAATTCTTCTCCATCAAAGCTAGTTTCTAAGTTTTTTTAACCTAAATTCTCACTCAGAAAAACTAAGTGTGAGGCAATAGTTTTAAATGCCATAGCTCCTTTAGCTCAAGAGCTTAAAGAAGACTTGACCAAGTCAAACTACATATCTGTAAGTATGGATGCCTCAAACAGAAAGGATATAAAATTTGTGCCAATTGTTGCATGCTACTTTGATCCTAATTCAGGTGTGCAAGTAAAGCTGTTAGATTTCAAATCTGTGACAGGTGAAACATCTGAAATTCTTACAAATTACTTATACTCTGTTCTGCTGCAAAATTATTTGAACAGCAAAGTAGTGGGCTTTTGTGGAGATAACTGCAACACTAACTTCGGTGGTGTGAAAAGAGCAGGGCAAAACAATGTTTTCTATTGACTCAAGAATAGACTAGGACGGGAAATCAGTGGAATCGGATGTGGAGCACACATTGTGCACAACTGTGTGCAAACTGCATTAGATAATCTCCCAATTGATATTGAGGCCTTACTGGCGACGATTTATAAATACTTTCGCATATACACAGTCCGTGTAACTAAACTAAAAGAATTTTGTGAATATGCCGAGATATAGTAACGTAAACTCATTCAACATGGGAACACCAGGTTTCTATCAATGATGCCCAAGCTGGAAAGAATTTTACAAATTTTTTAAGGTCTGAAAGCGTTTTTTTTAGACCAAGAACTGTGCCCATCAACAATAAAAACTTGTTTACTGATTTAATGGGTGAGCTGTCATTGTGGTTTGTCCACGGACAGCTTGCACTCTTTAACAAGGCCATCCTGGTAATGGGAAAAGATAATACTACAGCTTTTCAGGTTGCTGAAGCTTATAAAGCTCTCAAAAGAAACCTGACAGAAAAAAAGGATTCAAACTTTATTCCTATAGGCACAAAGAACATCTGCAGGAATCTAGACGAGCAAGTCAAAACAAATGCTGTTAATTGGGAAAACGCCAAAACTTCTGCTGAAATGATTCTTGATGTACCCGATATGCAAATAAACACTGACCAGATGTTGAATGAAGTTGTGCTAGCTAAGGAGTATTTGCAGTCAAATTGGGAACAGTGGAAGCAAGAAGAGTCTACCAGAGATGTGATTACTTTAGTGAAGAAAAATGGCTCAGGCTGTTTGATCAATTCAAGGAGAATCACATAGCAGTCCCTAATCTGATCAAGATTGTTGAATATGTCTTCTCCTTAACTTGGACATGGGCACCAGTTGAGACAGTATTTTCTTTGATGAACAACGCATGGACTGGTGATAGGGGTTTGATGAAGGAATCTACGGTTAAAGGCTTGATGAAGTATAAAATTAATATCAGATTGTGAAAATTTTAACAAGATTAAAACCAAAAAAAAGACTTTCTAAAAAAAGTCCTAGCCAATAAAAAGAACATGTAAATATTGTTCAAATTTTTATTCCTCATTTAAAGTGTTTTTCTAACTTAAGTAGCTTATAAATATTAGCATGTAAGAAATAAAATGTTTAAATTTATATGCTTGTGTCATTTATTATTACCCATGGTTTAGGTTCCTATTAAGTAACCATTTATTCATAACATTGAGAACAAACGACCCTCTAAAACACTCCAAAAACCCGCCAAGGGTGTGTATCCTTGAATACCCACGATGCTGAGGGGCATTTCAGTGTCCCGGTTGAACATTTCTGAAATCTGGTAAGCCTAAGCAATTATAATACTAATAACAGATACACATTGTTCCCAAACAGTGTATTAGTATCAATAATGGATAAGCATAACCAGTGGCGTAGCTAGGGTGGAGCAAAGGGGACAGCCCCCGGGTGCAGCATCCAGAGGGCACCAAACTGATGTTTCAGAGTTTTAGAATGAAACGTTTTCCATTCTTGGCATACAGAAAGGGGTACAAAATCCTCACTTGCCTCCGGGACTGAAAAGCCCAGCTACGGTTATGAGCATAACATGCCAACTCAACCATATGATTGTTTTGGTTACTTTGCTTAGTTAAGCCCATTTAGTTTTTGTAAAGGAAGATTAAGTTCTGTTCGAAATATGCCACCTTTTATGACTAATTTTTTTTGAAAGCTTATATAATTTTAAATGTAGGGTTTTGATATTTAAGTTGGTAGCAAATAAGATGATTGGTTTTATAATTTTAGAGCTGACGTTTTTGCTATTCACTAGGTTTTTCTAATGGGAATTATGTTTTTATGTACTCAACTATCTAGCATTTTCTCGTATTTGGAATTCAGCATTTCTTGAGCTTTCTGGATAGTCAAGCTTTTACTCTATATTCTTTGAAATTTAAAATATTGTTTCAAGTGTGCATGCTAAAAACTTTAATTTTATATGATTGTTTTCTTATAATTTAGGCTCATGGAAGAAAAATAAACATGTTGTAAGTATTTCTTTATCTGTTTTTAATCTAATAATTTCTTAAATCATTTATCAAATTATTTTTGTCACTTTGCTTCAGTTTATTATTTTTTTCATAATTTTATGCTGTTATAATATGTTGAAATTAGTTTTCATTCAGATGTAAAACATCATGTCTTATAAAAGTTTTATCATTGTACTTCTAGGGCAATAGATCAGACAAAATAAAAACTGGAGCTTATAGTCTTTTAGTATACTTAAAATCTCGACCTGGTCTATTAGTTCCTCACATCCTTTATGCCATAGAAGTGACTCAAAAAATCACCTTGGTCATCCTGAATGAGGTAACAAAAATTAGCATTTTCATCAATATATTCTGAAAAGTTTTTGAATGATATTTACAGTATTTGGTACTTACGTATTAACGCAACCAAGCCAAAATTCACATAAATCGCCAAATTTGGCGACCCTACTTACGGCAACCTTATGTTAATTTATTAAAGCGAGGTGTACATAGTTCGTAGATTCGTTCGTTGCCTACATTGTGCCACTCGTAGATGTTTTTTTAAGTTAAAACATGTCGCTGTGTACATGGATTCTTGTCTATATTTCGAACTTTAAGCCTAATATGTCTCCAAAAATGTGGTTTTCGCATATGCAAAAACTACGTTTTGAACACACGATTTAAGCTAAAAATCCGAAACAAAAACAAAAAATTTAGATAGCAAAAACGTAAAGTTTCTAACCAAAAATATTTGACAAGAATCCATGTACACAGCGACATGTTTTAACTTAAAAAAACATCTACGAATGGCACAATGTAGGCAACGAACGAATCTATGAACTACGCACACCTCGCTTTAATAAATTAACATAAGGTTGCCGTAAGTAGGGTAAACAAAATAATATAAAAAACTGTATTAAAAATTATCTCTAATTAATAAATGTACATTTTCTTTCTATTCATACTTTTTTACTCAAACTTACAAATCGCACCAACCTGGTTGCGATAATACGTAAGTACCCAGTATTTTTTGTTAGCCTCTTTCTTCAAAGTTTATGAAAAAAAAAACTGTTTAAAAAGTTTTGTTTACAGATTTTTAATTACTCTTAAACTTTGTAACCGTTATAAAGAAATTTTCATTAATATTAAAATTTATAAATTGAAAAAAAAAAAAAAAGTTGTGGTCATTGTAACATATTAATGAGCATTATTTTTTGGCCTAATTGGTATAAGATCTCCTTTCACTCTGTGCTTTACTGACACTTACATGGCTTAATTTTAGCTGTGCCATCCAGTTTTGTTCTCATCTTATACTATTATCCTTTAAAAAATTTCAATCTATCATTTGCCCTTTTTCCATACAGGGTGTTTCATAGATCATGGGTCAAACTTGGAGGGGTGGTGGAGCATACTAAAACATGCATTTTTTGTATAGAAATGTAGGTCTAAAAAGATAGGTTAAGGCAGGAATGCAAAAAAAACGACATGAGAGGAAAATGTGTTTATGTACAAAATCAACGCAAAGTGCTTCTTTGCAACAATACAGCATTCACAATAAATGCTCAAATAAGGAAACACTAACAGTAATAGGAACTACAGCTGTGATTGGCTGGCACTGCAGCAGTAGAGGGTGGTAGTGAACCGGACAAACCACAATCTGATGCATCAGAGGATCATTCGCAACTCTGGTGTCGAGCGGGATGAGTGAGTTTACGCACAGGGAAAAAGCTGACATGCATCTCATGTATGGTGCTGCTAATGGGAACGGCAGAGCAGTGCTACGGTTTCCGAACAGGCGTATGCCGAAGCATACAATGTTCGAGAGGTCGCATCGGTCTCTGTGTGAAAATGGATCATTTGAAGCCACCTCTGACACTAGGAGTGGAAGAAGAAATGCACGACAACCTCGCATTGAAGAATCCATCTTCAACATTGTGCATGAAGCACCTCAGACAAGTACAAGAGCTATTGCACCTCGTCTGCAGCTGAGTCATTCCACCGTTTGGAGAGTATTGCATGAAAATGGCTTGCACCCATACCATTTGCAGAGAGTCTAAGCCTTGCAAGAGACAGATTACCCTCTTTGAGTTCATTTCTGTCATTGGTTCTTGCAGCAGTGTGCGGCGCAGGCGGATTTTCCATCGGATGTGCTATTCACGGACGAGGCAACTTTCTCACAGGAACGGCATCTTCAATACCCACAAGATGCATGTGTGGGCAACTCATAATCCACATGGCACACGTCCACATGCATTCCAAACCTGCTTCTCCGTGAATGTGTGGGCGGGTATTGTTAACAACTACCTCATAGGCCCATACCTCTTACCTGCATGTACAAATGGCTTATGTTATAATATTTTTCTGCAAGGGGTGCTACCGAATTGCTGCAGGATTACAAGTTGCTGCAGGATGTTCCGGCTGTCGTTCGTGATCGCATATAGTTCCAGCGTGATGGTGCACTAGCCCATAATCACGTGCCAGTCTGCAATTACTTGCAGGGGACATTTCTGGGCCAATGGATTGGCCGTGGTGGACCCGTTCAATGGCCACCCCGTTGCCAGGTTTAGCCAGCTTGGATTTGTTTTATGGGGCCATCCGAAGCTGGGGTGGGCAAACTTCATGACCATAGGAGCCACGTGCTGGAATTCAGGGTAAGTTCTAAGACACAACTAGATTTTTGAAGAAATTCCATATTTTCATGATTTCAAAAACAGTGAAACAGGTTTTGAATGGAAAGAAACATTTGATGTAAATTTGATGACAGTTTTGCATTTTTATGTCATTTGTGTAGTTAAATATAAATATACAATTCTTATTTCTTCTGCTTTATGTTCGAAAAAATACATTTATACAATATACAAGTGTGAAAACTGTTTATGATGCAACTGAACATTCTTTTTTGAGACTGTAAACCAAGCATTTTTTTTTAATGATTTTCTTCCTTCTCCTTTTAATAACTGTTGAGTGATTTTAGCAGAGGTAAACTAAAATAAAAAAAATACGTAATGGCCTTTACAAGTACAATTATGAAAGAAAAAAAAAAAAAAAAAAAAAAAGAAAGAAAGAAAGAAACTTTTGATTTGAGTGAAGAATAAAAAGCTAATTTGAAAAATAGGTCAAGCAATTTCTTCCGCTTTATTTTTAATTCAATTGCTTTTCTATAGAAAGCATAGAATAAATGACACAAGACAGCATATGCTGAAGTGAAACCACTATTTTAGGAAATAAAATTATTTTAAAATAAGCTGTCAGCTTTTTCATGTTTATGTGTACAAAATGATTTAGTTTTTTTATACAATTAACACAACAACCTACATATTGGGATCTAACTTAAATAATTTAATTAATTTCTTATATGTAAATTGGATTATCAGTAACATTTTATTTTTTCTAAGGATGGGATATTGAAATTCTTGGATTCCATGGAACTTCAAAATGATTTTAAATTCAAAACTTAAATATTAATGTTTTTCCTTTTATGTGAATCTGAAGAAATCATTACATGTTTCAACTTGCAATTTCAGGAAGATTAATTTTATTGATCATAATTAGAAGAAGTCATTGAGAAAACTCAATTTTTGTTTGGTATGGCATTCAGTGTAATCTGCTTGAATTTTTTTGCACTCCATATGCTGTGTTTTCTCAGAAGTTCCTAAAATGAATTTCCAGTTATCTTGACTATTTTGGACATAACCTATAAGTTGCAGGCAAAAACTACAACTACTATATTTCAAGTAACTCGTGCCAGTCCTATATATTCCTGGATATTTCAAGTAACTCGTGCCAGTCCTATATAGTCCGGGATATTTCAAGCAACTCATGCCATGGTATATAAATGCTACTTTGCACATGTGACCTTTGCTATATACCAGTTAAACTTTTAGCCTAGTTTTTGAATTTTGAACTATTACTCAAATATTTTTTCAAGCTGTATTGAGAAAATGAATAAATACAAAGTCAATTGTGGATGTCTAGTATCTAAAATGATCTAATATTCAGACTTTCTGATTACCTGAAATTTTTTTTAGAAATTTTTTGTGAAGAAGAAAGAATTACATTCCAAGAATAACATATGCTTAATAAATATGTAATGGCATAAAATGTAAATAATTAGTTTGAAAGTAACTCACAAATATTTTAATAATTATAAATGTTACTTTGCATGTCTTATCATTTTAGGCAACAGTTTTTATCTTTGGAATGCAATTTGTTAAAAATAACAGAAGATGACTTTTTAACTATGGAGTTGGTGAATAAAAATTATATTTGGTGTTTATAAATCTTTTTATTAATTTTATTTTTATTTATTTATTTATTTTTTATTTTTTGTGGTTCATTCCAACATCCTCTTGGAATAGTAAAATTTTGTCTGCATCTTATTATGTTGTATCAACCGAGGATTCATGACAGGTGTACTTATATTTGGTGACCTGACAGCTTTTGACTTGTTTATTTAACATGACTATGGAAAACATAACAGAAGCAACTACACTAATAGATGCTGAAGCTAAAGTAAGCATTAAAATTCCACCATTTTGGCATGAAAAACCCGACATTTGGTTTTTCTAAGTGGAATCCCAATTTCAAATAAATAAAATCACAACTGAGACTAGATTCAATTATTTGATATCTCAGCTTGAACCAAAGTATGTTGAAAATATAAGGGACATTATTAAAAACACTAAGCCTAATCAATATTCTGTGATGAAAGAAAGACTTTTAAATGTTTTCAAAGAAAGTGAAAATAAGCAAATTCAGCATCTGGTTACCGGATTAGACCTCAGAGATTATAAACCAAGTCAACTTTTGCAGCAAATGAAAATTCTAGCCACAGGCGATTTTCCTGAAAAGAGCTAAAATCTTTATGGTTGGATAAGATGCCCGATTTTATAAGAATATTCTTCTCATCAGTGAAGAAAATTTAGAGAAATTGACCACGATGGCTAACAAAATTCATGAGAGGAGATCTGGTAAAGAAATTTATGCTGTTTCGCCAAATGTTAATGATTCTTTATTTGCAAGAATAGCTGCCTTAGAACAAAGTTGATTCAATGCAAATAAATGATCGTTCTAGCCCAAGATTTAGATATCATCACCGGAATACATCTTGAAGTCGTAGCCATTCGAAAAAGAGATTTAATGCGAAAGGTAAATATTGTTTTTTTCATTTTAAATTTGGTGATCGTTGTCAACCTGAGAAATGTTATTCGCCATGTGCTTGGGGAGAGAAGTCGGAAAACTTCATACTGCAACAGGATTAGCGGCTACTACTTTTGCTGGTATCAATGACAGCTGCAAGTTTTGTGTATTTGTGAAGAACAAAAACACAGGACTGTCTTT